ACACCACTTCAGACAAATGACTATCCAACATTTTCTTAAAAACTTCCAGTGTTGGCGCATTCACAACTTCTGGAGGCAAGCTATTCCACCGATTAATTGGTCTCTGAAGTGGGGTGTGGGACGAGTCACAACTGGGTATTAACTCAGCCCTTTTGCTCAGAGACTGAAGTAAATCTTGAGGCCACACCTCCACTCCTCCTCCTGACTTTCCCCAGATTAACCTCAGTCTTCGGCCCAGAAGTAGTATTTTCCTGACTCTCCCTTCACTTCGAAGACCTAGTTTTCAACAACTCAACCTTTTATCGGGTCACCTCTCCTCATTCGTGCTTCATCTGTTGCTAGCTTTCAAGCGGTGTCGCTGCGCTAGCGCAAACCCCAAGCCGGGGGGGGGGGGGGGGGGGGGCAGGAAATTTATCCTTAGTTCTAAGTTGCTTCTCTCTTTTACCAGTTTCTACCAAATGCTTCTTGTTCTACCCTCAGGTGCCTTGGAGAATAGCTTGACTCCCTCTTCTTTGTGGCAACCCCTGAGATATTGAAACACTGCTATCATGTCTCCCCTAGTCCTTCTTTTCATTAAACTAAACTATAAGATTGTACAACAATTCTCTCTTGTATGTAGTTTAAATAAGTTCTCATTTGTTATGCAGACAACAGAAGACAGAAACTCAGAAAACACGAGGATGGAACATCCAGGGGAAGAGAGTGATGTTTTATCAGGAGAGAGAAACACAAGATGTGTCCAATCTCAACTCCACACTCCTTGTCTGCCAACAGCAAGTGATCTTCAGTGTCCAAGTCCACTTCTTCCTGCTGGAATAGATTACGATGTGTTCAACCAGCTTCCAAGTGACATTAAGGAGGAAATAATCTCTAGCCAAAAGAAGGTTAGGGATTCCACAGGGATTTTGTGGAGCCAGGGAGGATCTGAACTAGAGGAAAAACCACCATGCCATTCAGAAGCCAAAATAAGCTCCATTTCCTTACATTCCGGAGACCTTGGTCAAAGGACTAGAACTTTGGAATGTTATGACATTGCACCCACCAATGAAGAGCCACCACCAGAAGGGCACAACCCCTGTGGAGAAGGCTCTTCCCAAAACCATTCAAGCCAAGGATCGAAAGTGGCCCTTCCTCCTTCTGTAGACCCCAAAACCTTTTCGGAGCTGCCCGCAGAGATGCAGAAAGAACTGCTGGCCGAATGGAAGAGTCAAAAGGGTGTTTCCAAAATGCACGGCAGCAACGTTGCGACGCTTAAAGGAACCAAGAAAGGACAGGCATCATCTCCAGGGTCCAATAGTTTACTACGCTATTTCAAACCAAGATGACTTGTCATTTGTTGGAGAGACTATGCTTGTATCTTGTATCTGGAGATAGAGCTTTCCTTCAGCCAAAGGTAGCTAAGGTGATACGGTTTAAGAAAATGGGGGGCAATTTCTTTTTAATGCATCCATATAACTTCCTCTCCAGAGATCAAATTTTCAAAGAATAGCTGTCCGGGATGTCTTAAAATCAATTTGGCTGGAAAATTTGACAAACTGTCCCTCCAGATATATTGTAACTGTATCAGGGTGGGAAAGCAAAGTTCACATGTGCACATGTTTGCAAACGAAACAGACCTCCAGTACAATGTTGACACTTCGGTTCCTGGCGCATGAAAATGGGTTTCCCACCTAAAATAAATGTCCCTTAAAATTTGAAGAATATGTAGAGAGGCAAGGGAAAGGACGTTGAAATACAAAGCAGCCGCAGTAATTTTTCTCCATTTCCTTACTCATAGATGCTAGAGGCTAAGGCACCATCCTGGTCTACTTTGATCTGTGTAGACTTCTAATCTAATTGCTAGCATTCTTAGCGATGGCCCTACTGGATTGAGAATCCTGGGAGTTGAAGTCCAGACACCTTAAAAGTTGCTCAGGTTGAGAAACACTGCTAGAGGGTTACATATTCTTGCCAATGGAAGAACAATAACACATAGACTTATATACCGCTTCACAGTGCTTTGCAGTGCTCTCGGAGCAATTTACAGAGTCAGCCTATTGCCCCCAACAATCCGGGTCCTCATTTTACCCACCTCTGAAGGATGGAAAGCAGAGTCTGGTGAGATTTGAACTGCCAAATTGCAGGCAGCTGGCAGTCAGCAGAAGTAGCCTGCAGTACTGCACTCTCACCACTGCGCCACCACGGAAGTACTGCATTCTAACCACTGAGCCACAAGCAGAGTGAGGCCATAGACCTAAGAATACATGTAATCATCCAGATTACATGAGCCTTTTTTGGGGGGGGGCTTGGCTCCCCCTCCCAAAATGGTTGTGCCACTTCAAGAAACATTTTAGAAAGCAAATGCGAGGCTGAGAAGAAGTTGATTGTAAGTATTTGGGGGGAAACCATAGATGTGGCAGTTAGATCGGTCTTCAGAAAGCTAGGTATTATTTTCCGTGGTTTGGTTAATCAGTGAATCTGCTTCCAGCTGCATTTCAAGACCAGCAGCCAGGAAAGAGCAGAGTGGCTAGAAATATGAAATACGAATGGTGGACATAAGCAAATTAGAACAAAAAGGAAACATGTTTCTACTCTTCCAGGTGCCCCGGACAAAAAGCCAAAATCAAATACCTCTCTTGTATTCAAATTTCCACTTATGTGAGAAACATGGTTACCTTTTCCATGTCTAAGCCTATGTTTTAACCTGAGGAAGTGATCAAGAGCTTAGCATTGGCAGTGGAAAAGGTCTCTTCTTCCCCCTTTTCTTATTTATCGCTAGATTCTAAAGGCAAAGGTTCCCCTTGCACATGTGTGCTAGTCGTTCTTGACTCTAGGGGGCGGTGCTCATCTCCGTTTCAAAGCCAAAGAGCCAGCACTGTCCGAAGACATCTCCGTGGTCATGTGGCCGGCATGACTCAGCACCGAAGGCACACGGAACACTATCACCTTCCTACCAAACTGGCTCCTATTTTTCTACTTGCATTTTTTAACTGCTTTTGAACTTCTAGGTTGGCAGAACCTGGGACAAGTAATGGGAGCTCACTCCATTATGCAGCACTAGGGATTCGNTTGACATTTACGAAGATTAAGTCCAAGTAAGTCCAGGGCGATTCTTAGAGGTTGGAGTTCTTTGCTGATTTCACAATGTTGATGTCCCAGCTATTTCTTGCCTTTTAATGTCACCATTGAGGAGTCCTTGGTGGTCTCTTGAGCATGGTTGGTCTCTGAGCTTACAGACATCACATTATCCAAATTAGGTAACTTTCAGAATTCCAAGTAACACACCCAATGAAAGAAGACCCCAAGGCTTGAGTTTCCCCAAAGTTGCATTTTATTAGAGATGTCATATTGGTGTCAGCATTCCAAATGTCATCAAGAATTGAATCAGAATTCAAGGCATAACTTTCATCAAAGTTCCAATTTAATAAGATAGACATGTTGGTACAAACTGTGGAAACCCAAATCTGAAAGCTCGACCCACGAGGGAAGGAACCTAGTTACATCTCTAAACTTAGGAACGCCTCACCACATTGTTCCGCCATCCATCCTGCAGCTTCCCCCTCATTCATCCTTTCTTCCATTATCAAGAACTCTTCTCTGTAGGAAGGTGGGGTAAGAACCTGTTGGGTCATTGCAGGTGAGACTGGACTCGGGGGGGGGGGGTTGTCAACCCCTGGGTTGGCCACTGGCCGGTTATCTGCCATGGTGCCATCTGCTGAGGGGGAGCAGGTGCCCACTGGCCTCTCTCCCATCCATGACCGGGGAAAGGAACCCATTCCGGAGTTGCTTGATTCATAGGTTGCAGCTCAACCATTGATGGCTGGCTAGGCGGGTTTTTTGGGGCCAAGGCCCCTTTGCTGGCTTGGAGGATTTTCCCATGTTGATGGCCAAGCAGGTGCCCATTGGCATCTCTTCCATCCATAACCTGGGGTAAAAGCCCAACCTGGTGGTGCTTGATTCCCAAGCTGCAGCCCAATTATCAGTGGCTGGCTAGTAAGATTTGCTGGCCAAATTCCTTCTTGCTGGCTGGTTTGAATTCCCCATCCTGATAGGGAATCTATCTTCAACTCAGTTGCAGGGTAATGGGTCATTTCATTTATCGCTGTTTGGAAGGAGTCAAAATCTCCACTCCAGTTTTTTTTTTCCGAGCCTTGGCTGGGGAAGGAGAGGGTATACACTCACGTTTAGCTGCAAAAGTTGGTCTGGGAGGTTCCAATTATCTTGCCTCCTCCAGCCGTGTGTAGAATAAGCCTTTCCAGCCCCCTCCGGTTGCATTTTTCCAGACGCTATAAATCTTCAAACAGAAATTCCTTTGCACTTTGAAGGTTTGCAGAGAAGCGTCTTGTCAATCGGCTCATTTTCACTTTCACTGATATTTTACGTTGACTGGGTCAGTCAGTGTTGGGAGTCAGCACCCCGTGCCAGGGTTGCTGGTGATTTATTTTAAAGGGAGATTCAGGTAAATGTCAGCGTTCGACATATCATCCAGAATTAAATCAGAATTCAAGGCATAGCTTTCATCAAAGTTCCAATTTAATAAGACAGACATGTTGG